AAAAACCGAGCAGGAATCGCTATTTTCAAATTCTGAGCGGATTTTGACCAGATTTTGTATAAAGGGGTTTTTTGGGTCGCTGATTACGAATATGAATTCACATTGTAAAAATTCAAGATGGCTGATCCAATATGGCGGGTGTACTTTTTTGAAATCCACCGATTTCAGTAAAATTTGGCATCATAAGGATTGCTGGTTGATCTCACCTTCATTAATCACACATCTGGAGCCAGATTTTCATAAATCAAGGTAAAAGATTCCACTCCGTCTAAAAATGTGACTTCGCTTAAAAAAATGACTTAAGGACTCTACACATGTAATGATGTGTAGTGTGATGTGCTTGTTTCCATGGGACAAGACAAAAAAGTTTCTACTTTATTCTTTCATTTATTTAGTCGTGCATGGGCTTATGGTTTTCCAATCAGATTTTTTTAACTACTATGCAGTTTTCCTATGGCATTTAGATGCTTTTATTTCTTAATAATTTTAAAGTTCAAGGAAAAGGACACATTACTGCCACACAGCACATCACTGCATCTGCTTATGCCTTCAATCTAAAAATGTGACTTTGCCGAAAAAATGCCGCCTACTCGGCCTAAAATTATGACTCTGCCTACAAATTTGATTCCACCTGAAAATCTGATTCGTGTTCAGGAGGCCAAATTACTACGAAAAATATATGTCGCATAAAAACTATACCCAACTTTTTTTTTTCTGTGTGGCTGTGATAATCAAGAGAAAATCAAAATGAGTAAAAAATTATTTCAGAAGGCACGTCGCTATTAAAGAATAATTAATTATCCTGATTATTGTTGCAAAATTATAGAATGACTATATATATTTTAAATATTTTGATTATAAAAAATTATCTATTAGAGAATCAATATGGCCATAATGTGATATATTTTTCAATTATAAAAAAGGAGGCAATTGTCATAAAAAAAGAAGAAAACGTGACATTCTCAAAGAGAGATTTTGGAAAAAGATAAAATTTTGTTACCAGTACCGAAATCTATAATAAATACGTGTGCTACTAATCATCACTCTCATTTTGAACTCTCGTGTTGCTGCAGACGGTTAGTTTGTATGTGTACACGAAAATTATTCATCTTATTATGAATAAATAAACTTTTCCGAATTTATTAAATTTAGGATCAATATTATAAAGTTAAATACTCTAATATTTAAAAAGTTTAAATCGACTCTTATGATGGTGTCGTAGCCTCACCTTCGGCATTCTTGTTTAAAATATTTGCTTGTCTTTAAAATATCTTCAAAATGCCTTTTCTCGTAAAATTAGTAAACATTGTTTACTGTCAGTTTCTATCAAAGTATTCAGACATAAATTGAAATTATAATATAAATTTAAATTCTAAGCAACTTTTCTTAATAACATATTTCTATATATTGTTAAAAACAAAAGCAGTTTATTCTTAAACGATTTTTATAGGTATTTACCGATTTTCTTATCACCCTTTACATGCAAGATGAAAGTTCTCCATGCCAATCGCAATTTAAAGACAAGCAAAAATTTTAATCGAGAATGCCTTTTTCTCGTAAAATGAAAAATAAAATATTTTCCCTCTTTTCTGTTGTCACCGTGGTCATACTGTATAATCTGCGATTGAGGTTGTAGCTTGTAGCAGACTTTGTTGAATATATTTCCCTGACTATTAAAGGTAGATCTATCACTTTAATCCTGAGTCGCCCTATGCATTGAAAAAACAACTTTAGTTTATACGGGGTGTCGCGAAATTAGGGAGTAATATTTCTACAGGGTGTTCTATGTCGAAAAAGATTACTTTTTCTTTATATAAACGTGGGTCCAAAAATTCTTCCTAAGGAAGTTATAGCCACTGAGGATAGATAGGCCCCTATCTAATGATGGTTTTTTCTAAACAACTCCGAAACCAGTTGAAATAAATTTATAAAATTTGGTAACTAGCTTAACACTTATGTGCTCTGTCCGCTACTACAATGAAATTTACAAAATTTCGTCACATACGTTCCATCACGGGGGGAGGGGGGTAAAATTTTCCATAACTTTTTTAACTTTTGACTGAAAAGTATGAAATATCAGAGTTTTTTATTAAAAAAAGGTAGTCTTGGTTCATATTCGTAGAATGTTCCATTTTTATTTAAAATCCGTTTAATAATAAAGTTACATGTTACATGTTAATCACTGGGAATCGAAATTGTCAATATTTTTTATCATCGCAGGTTTTGAATAACAAAAATGCGTTTGGCGTCATTTGCATTGATAGTTCAGGTATTTACTTTTTGCGAATTGTTATTTTTACAGAAATTTATTATTTTTAGTAAATTATTATTTGATAAAGTAAAAAAAAACAATTGAATATTTTTCGACATAGGACACCCTGCAGAAATATTGCCCCCTAATTTCGGGACACTCTGTATGTCCTATGTTTCATCATAATTGTATATTCATAATTATTATTGGTAATTGCCTCGATAATTTCAAATGAGAATCTACACATCTAGCACTATTTTATTTGTTATGTTACATGAAACAAATAATGGTTTAGTTTAAATTTAGACAAATATAGGTAATACAAACTGATGATTAATATCTTTGTCTTTTTACCTTAGGTATGAAAAAAACTACCACATAGCTTTATAACACATTTTTTTAGACAGTAAAATTTTGATCTTTAAATGGTTAATATACCATCATTTTTGTCCCACGGTAAATGTACTAAGTGTTAGTTTCCGGAAGATCAGAACGATGTTGTGTGCTTAGTTGTTCCAAATAATTACACTGTCTGAAATGATTAGCCTCGATAGCCAATGAAAATATTAAATTTTATTAAAGTAGCTGTATATTATTTATTTTTGTTTCTATTAAAATTGTACTTTGTTTTAATTAAAAGCTAATGCTACCGGTTCTAATGCAAATAGTTAATTTAGATACCGTTGAAGTATTGTGTACTGTTAGAGACTCTTGCAAAAAATAGTGGGACGAAAGTCATATGGTCAGTTTTGTCACTTATATTTTTAAGTAACAATAATTACATTAATATATAATCTATAGTTAATTGGTTATAAAATTGTTTTATATAGTCATAAATTAATATTTCACAAATATTTTCTATATTGTGAGAGCTGACACAATAGCTTTGCTTGAAATACTCAATATTTAAATTATAACGTTACAACGCATTAATATTTATAAATATAAAATATAATATCGAAAAACTGTTATGTTAATATTTATTAATTCCATACGAGATAGGAAACTACGTACCTGATGAAACAATCCTAAGAAAAGCATGGGAACAAAAAGATATATTTCAGTAGTAGCTCTTTTTTACTTGAATACTTTTTGTCAAGGGTGATGATACAACAACAAGAATACAGGATATTTCTTTGAATAATTAATCGAAGATTCTTTTACTTACTACTGAGGTATTTCGTGGGCGATCCAACAATCCTAAAAGCTACGCATGGCGAAAATAGTCGTTCAGTTGGTTCATCGTTTGCGAGTTCTCTACATATCAGGTAAACCATCACCAGTCTTCCAGACATTTTATTCCGTAGATCGGGTTCTCCCACCCACTGAAAAATATCATTATAATTAATTCAGGCTGTAATAGTCACTAGATGCGCGAAAAGTATTGGCATATTGTAGAAATAATGAACCAAATAAGACTAAGTAAAAATAAAAAAGCAATGTCAATCCTCTGTATCGTAGGTGGCCAAGAAACGACCGTATCGCGGAAATAATCTACTCTTAGCAAATAATCGCACGAGATAGCAATTACAACGTCTTAAATGATTAGGTAGCATTTTCTGGTACGTTTTTAATTGACTGTAATGATATGAAAAGCCTTCAGGCGTACCGCAAAAAACCGTTAAATTTACATGCTACTGACGTTTTCCGACATGCGTCAGTACGATTAAGAAAAATCAGGGTAGCCCAGATATAATTCTGCATTCACATCCGCTCCATCGCCAAAGAAGAATTATCATTAAATTATATTTCACTGAAATGTTAAATGTCCTCAAATTTTCAGTAGGAAGTTTCTTCTAGGTTAAACGATGAGATATGGGATATTTGATTAATTTTAATTTTTCTTCTTTTGAAAAATGAGTATATAGAATTATTATCATTTTTAGTTTGAATAAAAATTGTAGATCATGTGGGTCAATCGTTTAACTAGGACAAATAGTTTTAGACAATTTCCAATTCTATTAAAAATCCTGATAAATAATATGATTTTCATTAATATTAATTTTTAGCTGCACCTCATATCCTTATAAATATTAATGTGCGTTTGAAAAAACATGTACATATATTACTGAAATGAATATTTCATTAAAATAGGGAAACTAAGAAATCAATTTATAGGGAAATAAATATTACTTCAAATACCACTAAATCTTCAGTTAAGTAGGTTGAAAGGCACTTACAATAAATTGCGAAACAACCTACAGTGGTTATACAGGATGTTCCGATTTATAGGTGTACATTAATGTACTACCTAAGTAAAAATATACCAGGCGCATATTTGGAAACTGTAACTCCCTGAAAATTGCATAATTGACAATTTTTGAAAAATTTATACATTAATTTACATCTTTAAAGATGCCCCTATAGGTACCATAAAATCTTCTCAATTTTGAAATTTATATACAAAAAAAAACCGTTATAAATTTATGAAATGTTTAAAAATACATTTATATTCCTTTTAGTTCAAAAATAATATAATTATGTCAATATTTTCGGAAATTTTGTCTGCATTTATTAAATTTTCTTTTCTTTAGAAATTCTTACTATTTTATAACCTATCTCTGCATTATTCGTGTAATAATTTTAAATTAAAATTTCTTCAAAAGTTTGATAAACAGATAAATCATAAACCATGCCTTGATATTTGTAATTTTAAAAAATAATGTATTAATGATGAACATCAATCATTTCTTTCATACTGACATGCATAAGCTAAGTTATCTCAACAAGCTTGTATTACTTAAAAAAAATATTAAAATTCAACCCGTTCGAAAAAAATATAAAGGCTCCACTGAGACGCGAATATAAATTTTGTAAAACATTAATATTCCTGCAATAAATTCAATAATTGTTAATTAATCAATATTTTCTTTTTTATTAGAAAGTTTTACGTGGGAAAGAATTAATATTAAATGTATTTAAATATAGGGCTTTTAGATATTTTTCTATTTAACAACAGCATATGGCAGTTATTTGTCATCTTTTCTATAGAAAGTGTATCGTAGAATTCGACATTACTTACTTTGCAAACTGATTTATTAAAATATAATTAACTATTAGTTTCGTTTTAGACATCGGGACTATATTTAAAATATATTATTAATATTGTCAACAATAAAAACAGGCATCATTGATGGGAAAACAAATGAAAAATGTTGTTTACTAAATAAATTTCCTTGACAAAGAAATATACAGTGATTAGAAAAATAAGATTAACATCTACTACTCAAATTAGAGGTATAGATGCAAAACTCACATTATCCACTTTTTAAAATTTTTCAGGAAGAAGGAATAACTGATTATTCACTTTTTTAGTGACTCTGAAACTTTTTTTGGTATTGTAGTAGAACTTTAACTTTGCTTCTTAATTGGTGAAATGACAGCACAACAATATTTAACTCCAAGAAAGTGGATAATGTGGGTTTTGATACAACTTTTTGGATAATGGTAGTTTTGCTCCAAATTATTCTACATAATATTATTTTTTACACCAAAATTCATGAAGTTAAAGGAACTTTGAAATAAATTCAATATCAATAAAACTTTTATGTAATATGGTAGTTCATAATCAAAATAAAAAGCTGAACAAAATACTTAGAATACGGTTTTATTATCAGTGATGAAGTGAAATATTTTTTATAATGAATCTAAAATTGCAAACAAAAAAATGTTGACAGTAAAAAGTTCTAATATCTGATATTTAAATATGAAACTTCAGAACTAAACTTATCTTACTTATAATTAAAAACTTATAGAAAAACACGGCACCAACCATCTAGGAAAGCAAAACAATACGAGAAGCAAAACTCACATTCTCCTTAGGCAGTCGGCCATATTGGTTTATCGCTTTAAGCTTTTTCATTGGTGAATATATGAATAATGTGAGTTTTGACAACTTCAGATCGTAGGATCGTTCAGATAAAATATTTCCTGATTACACGTAGTACTAGTGTACTATAAAAATAATATGGGCACATAACTATAAGAATATCGCGAAGCAGTGAGTCCTTAAAATAATTTACCTGTAAAAACGTTCGTCCCTCATCTCTGAAAATGCGAAATGGCACATCTGCGTCGACAGGATTTCGAAGTTCTACCCATCCACTTTCTGTCATAAATTTAGCCCCTGACACTGCACATACTGGTGTTCGAACTCCTGAAACAAAATAAAGATGCGGTAACATTGGCTAAGTGTATGTCGTATTACGGATATATTTCACAATTTTTTGCAAAAACATGTTGGTGAATAATCAGGCTTTGGTCGTCACTCTAACGTTAATAAAGTCAAGACTGATCTAATACTCAAAATTGTCGTACTAGAAATACATAGCACTTCGTAAATATAAACGAAAAGTAAAAGAAAAACAAGTTTTTATTAAAATGCATTAAAAAGAAAAACATAAAAAGGAGTTCATAAAACCCATAATATTGTGTAAACCCCAAACCACAGACAAAATAGCTATCGCCACAGACCGCTCCTGGAATAGGCCGGCAGTTTTAAATTTCCCAATTGCCGGTAGAGTACACTACCAGTAGAATTTTAGGAAGAATTCAAATGCAGCGGCCCGCATACCTACCCGTATCCTAGCAACATATAAACAAGACTTTGGTAATGTTGCCAGGCGTACTTACGGATTTTTTTTGTACACTTTCTTATCAACATCTGCTTTTTGCGTTACTGTATTTACTTAAATGTATGATGTAGGTATTGATAGAAATGTTTTTAAAGAATCAACGAATACCTATGTAGTTTCATATGATATTCTGCAGCGGTGTTACAATTAAGTTATTTAATCATAATTTCGTTAATTAGCTACCTACTATTTTCATTTTTTGGTATTGAAATACTGCAGAAAATATATTTATTATTATTATATTAGTACGTCGCGGAATGTAGGTACAGGTCTTTTTTTGTATTTTGACATCCACTTACAGGTTTAATAATTAAAGATAGAAAGAAACTTTAAATACAAATGTACGACTTTTCCTTTATTTCATTTGACATCAAAATTTGCTGGCATAAAATATATATGTTTAAAATTAAAGAAATCATTAAAAAAAAATTAAAATTATCCTTATGAAAATAACACACAACGATTTTTATAACTAACCTTTACAACAACATAAGGAGAATACCTAAAAACGAAATAACATTAATATACCTACAATTTTTACAAATCAACATGCAAGTGATCGTGATGATACAGTTGAAAATATGTTTTAATTTACTATTAATTGCTTCAAAAACAAATTCAAAATTATCAAGCAATTCGTCCTGTTCTTTTATTTCAATACTTATACTTATAAATAAGAAGTGGATCTTATTTGTGGAAGGGCGAAATGGGCGGTGACTATAGACGCCTTCAATATAGCCATCTTTCTCTATCGCACGGTTTTTTATGGCTTTCTTTATCGCTCTCACGTAACGGCCGATGAACCATGGGGACTTTCCGATCCTGTATGTAGTAAAAATACAGGGTGTCCAGAAACTAAACCTATAAATCGTTTTCTTCAAAAATGTTTCCTAAGTGAGGTAGGGCTCTTTGAAGATGGCCCTTTGACATTGTTTTTTTTTGTAATTGTTTAAGTCGCTGTTTATCTAAAATGAATAAACTTGGGTTATGTATTAACTCGTATGCGGACAGCTTTTTGATGTAAAAATGATCTTTTAATTGTAACTATAGGGGTCACATTTCAGGATCAGCTGATGTTTTTTTATATATTTTTTTATTTATAATAATAATTTATTGATGTCAGGACATAAGATAAATGTTTACACAAGTCATAAAAGAAATATGACACCAAAAGTATCAGTAATTAAAAATAGGTTAAAATTAAGCACAGATATGTGAATAAATCATTAAAAAAAATACTACAAATAAATAATATAGATACAAAAAAAGCACTATTACAAAATACATAAAGAAATATATCACACATCACACACATTACATGGTATTCCTAGGGGACTGACAAGAGCAACAAAATCATCATTAAAATAATCATCAAATGAGTAAAAAGCCTTCATTTTAAGAAAGTTCCTTATTCCCATTTTATAGTGAGCATTACACAAGGACCTAACTGCTTCAGGTAGCATATTAAAAAAGCGCACGCAATAGTAATTAGAACCGGCTCTAGTTCTACTTAGTCTAAGAGGAACAGGGTTTATATTGTACCTGTTTCTAGTAGGATAATCGTGGTTAATAAAATGTTGAAACATATGGATATTTTCCTTAATGTACAAGAGACATTCTAAGATATAGACACTTGGTAGTGTAAGTATGCCACATTTCTTAAAATGTTGTTTACAGTCCGCTCTATAGGGTAACCCAGCAATAATGCAAATACATTTGCGTTGTAATTTAAAAATTTTATCTGTTTGGCAAGAATGACCCCAGTTCAAAGTAGCATAGCACAGATGTGAGTGAAAAAACCATAATTGGCTGACAGCAATGTTTTTATCGAAACAAAATTAACAAGGCTTCTGATCAGGAACATCTTTTTAGATAGTTTTTTAGATAACTCGTCAATATGTTGCTTCCAAGACATTTAGCGATCAATGTTCACTCCGAGAAATTTCACTTGCGAGGCGCAATTGGTGAACTCATCATTCACATAACGCAAAGTAAACAAAATAGATTGAGTTTTGTTTTGATTGAGATACATTTTATTTGCCAAAAACCACTGCTTAACGTTATCCTGTGTGGTTTGAACATTATTACGAAGGACACTGGCCTGACCTGCACTATTTAGGATCGTAGTATCATCCGCAAAGAGGATAAACTTGGAAATGCTATCACTATTTGGTAGATCGTTTATATAAATGAGAAACAGGCCCAAGGGCAGGTCCTTGTGGGACTCCGTGATCCATGGTTAAGCATGAAGATTTACTTCCATTAAAAGAGACAAATTGAGATTTGTCACTCAGGTATAACTTAATAAGGGAGATACTATTTGGATCAAAGTTATAGCGCGAAAGTTTTTTAATTAAAATGTTGTGGCTCACACAGTCAAAAGCCTTAGTAAAATACCATTAGTAATGTCTCTATTCTTAAAGCTACTCAGAACTGAGTGCATTAAGTTGTTTATTGCTAGTGATTTATATACAGGGTAGCCCATCGAAAACGTACCGCAAGGCATTACAGGGTAGTAAAGAACTTTTCGACAAAATCCAAAAACAGGTCAAATTTGTTTCTGAGGGGGACAACTTTTGGCTCAAAAAGCATACCAAAATCTTCAACCCCCTAAG